TTTAACCAGTAGACGAATTTGCAAATATGCAATCCAAGAATAATGAGGATCAACTACATTAAATTTTTTTTAATTATACAGAAAATTTCCAATTAACGCAAAAGCAGAGTGAATAGTATAATGAACCGCTCTACATAAACATTACATAACACAATTATATTTTGAAGGGAAGAAATGCTAGAAAAAGGGCTGATAAAATTCAACACCTTCTCTTGCCAAACAGAAAACCTGGATGAGAAAAAGAACTACTTTTAATCTACTTTTTAAATTTTGCCATTTATTTCCTAATGACATTTTATGTAGAACCCTTAAGTCAAAATAACTCATTTAGAACTTGAATTTCTGCTCTTTCAAAAATTCATTGTGTGACTTCCTGAAGTACTAGAGAAGCTACTAGCATTGCAAAAACAAACGACTAGAAATGAGACACAAACATTTGAAAGAAAAGGACACAGTAATCATTTGTAATGCCTCTCTTCCCCTAAAAAAACTGAAACGCAAACAGACTTGGAGAAAAGTATTTGTTTTGCACAATAAAAATACAAACAGAGCAAAAACAATACACAAAAGAAGTTCAAAATAGTTAACATACCAGAAAAAGAAGTTTAATCTAACCAATGAGTGAAACACAAATTAAAGCAACAATGGATAAACCTGAACTTTACACAAATGGAAAAATATACATATGAATAATACAGCCATACTATGAAATACTATGAAGCCATTTTTTAAAAATGATGTAGCAGGACTATACATACAGACATGAAAAGATGTCCAAAAGAAAAAGTGTAGGTTATAAAATAATACAGAGTATTATAAACATTTTAGTTCAAACACACATATACACACACATGCAACCTCCAGCTTCCCCATAAAAACAAATCTGAGGCTGTACTCCAGCTTGGGTGACAGAGCAAGATCCTGACTCAAAAAAGTCTCCATCTCTACTAAAAATACAAAAATTAACTGGATGTGGTGGCAAGTGCCTGTAATCCCAGCTACTTGGGAGGCTGAGGCACAAAAATCGCTTCAAACCAGGAGGCAGAGGTTGCAATGAGCTAACATCGCCTCACTGCATTCCAGCCGCAGTGACGTGAAACTGTCTCAAACAAACCAAAATCCCACAAATCTGTAAAGAAGGATTACAGTCAGTTTTCCACTTTATCCGTTATTTAATTCTATAATGATCGAGTATTTCATGAAAAATGGTTATTTTTATAATCCAGAACAAAATTTTCTATTTTCAAATAAAAAATATTGCAAAACATCATGTAGCGCTACATAAAACACTGGCATAGAGTATGAACTCATTTTTGTAAAAGAAAGTGTCAATTTTTGTTTAAAGCAATTTCTATCATTTTAAGCTTCTACAGTGTCTTTTTATTCCCCTGGGAGTGGAACAACAAGTGAATTACATTTTCTGCTTTACTCTTTAGTTTTTGTGCTGTTTGAGTTTTAAAATATTGCCTGTGCATTCGTTTTCAATTAAAAGGAAAAAGGTTATTTCTATTTAGTCGCTCCAAAATTCCAGCTACCCATACTTATTTTTTGAGACAGAATAACAGATAGTTAATACACAAATAAAAAGTGCTGTAAAATTCCTAAATTAAAAGCTCTTAAGAAGGTTTTAAAGCTTTCAGTCTGTTCATAAAATTGACATTCATAAACTCTCCCTATCCGTCCACCATTAGCACACATCATCAATAAAGTCCTTACACCTGCAATTTGTTTCAGGTTTTGATGCAAGAGGCACTATCAATGAAGAGACTACAACAATTTTTCATAAATGGAAAAAATACCCACTAGCAGATGGTATAGGAAGAACATTCTCAAATCCGAAAATCTGCAATGTTTTGAAATCCCCAACTTTTTGAGTGCCGACATGACCCTCAAAAAAAAAAAAGCTCATTGGAGCATTTTGGATTTCAGAATTGGGATGCTCAGCCAGTAATGCAAATATTCCAAAATCCAAAAAAATAATAATAATCCCAAATCAAAAACACTTCTAGTCTCAAGTATTCTGGATAAGGGATACTCAACCTGTATACTTTTTCACTTATGTGATGCTTCATATTTACGTGCTGCCCATTAGAGTGAGCTACTGGACAAGTATAAGATCCAGAAGACAGGCCGAGCGTGGTGGCTCAAGCCTGTAATCCCAGCACTTTGGGAGGCCGAGGCGGGGTGGATCACGAGGTCGAGAGATCGAGACCATCCTGGTCAACATGGTGAAACGCCGTCTCTACTAAAAATACAAAAAATTAGCTGGGCATGGTGGCACGTGCCTGTAATCTCAGCTACTCAGGAGGCTGAGGCAGGAGAATTGCCTGAACCCAGGAGGCGGAGGTTGCGGTGAGCTGAGATTGCGCCATTGCACTCCAGCCTGGGTAACAAGAGCGAAACTCCGTCTCAAAAAAAAAAAAAAAAAAAAAAGACCCAGAAGACAATGCTCTACATGTGTATAAAACACCTATTTTATTCATCTGTTATTCGGTAGGGTTATTATGTGTTGTATACCAAACAAAGCAAGAAAATAAGCAGTAGTATCTTCAGAGCTGACAACTAAGAAATAAGATACATAAAACACTAAAATGGAAGGCGAGTAACTGTCATGTTCATTAACATGACTCAATTATCAAAGGCTTACACTGCATCAAGCATAGAGCTAAATACTTTATAAATATTACTATATAACATCTTATAAGCTAGGTATTAATATACACTTATTTTAAGAGAAGACACTGAGGATTGGAAAGGTTATGCAATTTGCCTAGAGTAATAGATTGTAAGCACAAATCCAGGATTCAAACACAGATCTGTCTTACTCAAAAGGTCTTATTCATAACCACTGGGAGTATCACTCATGTGTTTTAAATGTTGAGAAGAGATATAGCTTACTTGTAGCACACATTCTATCTTTTAATTTGCTAAATTACTATGTTTAAGAAACAAAGTGCCCAATTTGGATGGAACAAAGGCTCCCAGTTTAACGGGAGAAAGATGAGTAAATGAAGGACTATAATACAATGTGACTGACTATTGGCAGAATAAATGGCCCAACCTTTCAAGAAGGCAAATCAATATTATTCGAAAATTTAAAACTCCATCAGTACTCTTCTCCAAGTCCATCAGTATTCATCTGTTTAGGGGAAGCATACTGAAAAAATAGACAAACTCTTAACAATGGTGGCCCTGAGAATGAAATGTATGTATAAAGTGCTGGAACTTTAAAAATAATGGGCATGTATTAATTCTACAATAAAAAATATAAAACACAATTAAGAAATGCTATATTCACTGGGCACAGTGGCTTGCACCTGCAATCCCAGTACTTTGGAAGGCTGAGGTGGGAGGGCCACCTGAGGTCAGGAGTTCAAGACTAGCCTGGCCAACATGGTAAAACCCTGTCTCTACTAAAACTACAGAAACCCGGCATGGTTGGCACATGCCTGTAATCCCAGCTACTTGGGAGGCTAAGACAGGAGAATCGCTTGAACCCAGGATGCAGAGGTTGCAGTGAGCCAAGATTGTGCCACAGCACTCTAGCCTGAGTGACAGAGCAAGACTCCATCTCACACACACACAAAAAAAAAAAGAAAGAAAAGAAACACTATATTATGGTACATATTAAATACTACAGAAGCAAAGTAGAATTTTAAAAATAATGGGCATGTATTAATTCTACAATAAAAAATATTATAAAACACAATGCTATATCATGGGGCATATTAAATACCAGAGAAGCAAAGAACTCTGCTAAAGAGACAGGTATCTTTCAAAGCTGCTGGCTTCTGTTTGTATCCACCAATTACTATGAGACTTTGGGTAAGTAGCTTCATTCTGAACCTATTTCCTCATTTATAAAGTGGAATAGGAATGCTTGTTCTCAGCTGGGCGCTGTGACTCATGCCTGTAATCCCAACACTTTGGGAGGCCGAGGTGGGAGGATCACTTGAGGTCAGGAGTATGAGACCAGCCTGGTCAACATAGTAAAACCTCGTCTCTACTAAAAAAAGTACCCAAAATTAGCCAGATGGAGTAGCGGGTATCTATAATCCCAGCTACTCAAGAGGCTGAGAGAGGAGAATTACTTGAACCTGGGAGGCGGAGGTTGTAGTGAGCGAAATTGTGCCACCAAACTCCAGCCTGGGCAACAAAAGCAAAACCTCTGGAAAGAAAAAAAAAAAGGAATGCTTGTTCTGCCTACTTCACAAACTTGCAGGGATGAGCAAATGTGAAAAAGTGTGAAAGTATAAAGTTATAAACTAATGTGTCAACTGATATTTTTAGACAATTCTGAACACTACAATAGATCAATTTTCTATAAGAAACAGGGGCCTGTCTAAATGATCCTAATGTTTCTCCTCTATTGTTAAGGCTAAATTTTTAGCATCGTCCAAAAAAACTTTCTACAATGAGTATATTCTGTATTTGTGCTATGTGTCCAAAATCGGAGCTGCTAGCCACATGTGGTCATTAAGCTCTTGAAATACCGCTAGTGTGATGGAGTTACCGAATTTAAAAGTAAATAGCTGCATGTTGTCAGTGGTTACTGTACTGAATTGCCCCGTCTTATCTTTTGTCCACTTCTCTCCTCATCTAGATAATTACAAATATAAAAATATTAACAAATTAAAGTTTCTCAAAAACACTCTTCACTTAAATAATTAAAACTTTACTCTTGGTTTTTTCCTTTTTTTTTTTCCCTTAGCTACTCCTTCTCCAGCTGAAAATAATTAAACTTTAGAGCAATGCTAGAAAAGCAGCTTGAAGTCTTAGATTTCATCAGAGTCTTTAGGGTCAAATTATTTGTAAGGATGTCTTATAAGAACCTAAAATTGATTAACCATGGGTTAATACTTTACAGTGACTTTTAAAAATGAAAACAGTTACATGCTTTTTTTTTTTTTTTAAAGATTTACTTTGGTCTGTGAGGAACATGTAAGACAAAAAATTCAGAGACTTTAACACAAGAGCTTCAATAATTAAATCAATCCTACCTTTAGCTCTGGTTGTATGAACTCTTGCACGCACCCAAACAACTTCATCAGCTTTTTGTACTGTCAAGTCTCTAATCCGAACCAAAACTTGCTCTGCAATAATAGTAAACAATTTTTATACAGTAAAAGAATTTTTAAATTCAGAATTTACAAAAAGATCATAATTATTTCTGATAGCTAGCATAAGTACTTGGAACCATCTTGAATAATTCTCAGTCTTTGACAACAATGTCCTCTCTATCATGTTCCATATGCAATTTGCCTCAAGTTCTGTGAATTGTGCTTTCTAAACATATTTCTAAAATCCGTTCAATTCTCTACCATCTTTACTGCCACCATACCAAACCAAGCTATTATCTCCTACCTAAACTACAGCAATAGTTCCTAACTGCAATCCCTGTGTCCCCTTGTAATTCAATCTCCTTTGAAGTCAGAGAGTTTCAAAATGCAAATCTGAATACTTCAATGACTCATAAAACCAAACATAGCCTATCCTGCCTAGGATATGGAACTTTTGCTTGCCTGCTCTGGTACATAAGTCAACTAGTCTCTGCCAAGTCTGGAGAATCACAGTATCTTATTCCCCAGGACACAGTGACTCTGAGTTAATCAAAATCTTTCTCTGGGACTAAATATACAGATGCTGGGAATGAAGCTCTCTTTTCTGGGATTGCTGCTACATGTTTGCAGGATTCGAGAAGGAAGCCTATATCTTAAAGGAAACAGAGCCTAAAGATGGAGAGAGAAAGGCCTGTAGATGCTTCCTGAGCCCCAAGATCCAATCATGCTTGATGTCATCTCATACATTTTCCTATGAAGCCTTTTGGCTATAAGCAAGCCCTAACTATTATGTTCCTAATACTAAACAAAATACTACATTCATCTAGAGTTCCCTAAACAGGAAAACAGCTATAGAACAACTACTATGTAAAGATGCATATATGATGCAACATTCAACAATCATTTTTGCTACTCTTCTAAATTCAATTATTTGATTAGAGAAAAAAATTTAAGTATTAGTTAAATACAATAATAGACATGACATTACAGTATCAAGAATACCTTGAGACATATAATAAAGTCAAATTATAAATACTGTATGTCTTACCTAATTTGTCTAAATGTATTCATAATTTGCCTATTAAAGAAAAGATGCAGCTGCAGAGAGAATCTGATTTACAGGAGAATAAATACCATGGTTCTCATAGCCAAAAGCAAAGAGAATAAAGAGGAATTTTAAAGCCACTGGCATCATAAGAGGATTTCTGGAAAACACTGCCAACAGACTTTATGTGTTAAGCCAAATTCCAAGTCTGCTGTGTAAACTCAGGCAAAAGAGAGCGTGAAACAGGAAAGACAGGCAAATTGGTAGAAGATTTTAAAATGCAGATTTGGAAAATGCCAAGGCTGAAAAGCAATGGCTAACTAAGCAATCAAAACTCAAAACCACGCTGCCATGTGTGTACCTATGCAACAATCTTGCATGTTCTCCACATGTACCCCAAAACCTAAAATGTAAAAACAAACAAACAAACCTCAAAACCAAACAAAACAGAAAAGCATAAATCTAACAGATGTGATAATTGGGATAATTTTAGAAGCACTTGGAAAAGAAAAAGGGTATTGGCTCTTCTTTCCTCTGGTGGCACAATTAATTAGCATAGGGTTCTCAACCTTTAATACACCTGAACATACTTGAAGCCCATGCCATTCTCTCACCAGTATGATTGGCTAATAGGCAACCAGCAGTGGTAGTAGGATTTCAGTTTGAAAACTGTACTTTTAAGAGTCATGGGCATTAGATGGATTAATGTGGAGAAACGGAAGCAGATGAGAAAGGAAACCACCTTAAGCAAAGTATTGGGATTTTTGCAGAAGTAAAACCAAAGGTAGAATTTTGTTAAATTACTATAACCATATTACATACATAGGTTATCTTGCTCTCTAGGTGGGGAAAATTTTTTTTTTTTTTTTTTTTGAGACAGAGTTTCCCTCTTGTTACCCAGGCTGGAGTGCAATAGTGCGATCTCGGCTCACCGCAACCTCCGCCTCCTGGGTTCAGGCAATTCTCCTGCCTCAGCCTCCTGAGTAGCTGGGATTACAGGCATGCACCACCATGCCCAGCTATTTTTTTATATTTTTAGTAGAGACGGGGTTTCACCATGTTGACCAAGGTGGCCTCGATCTCTTGACCTCGTGATCCACCCGCCTCGGCCTCCCAAAGTGCTGGGATTACAGGCGTGAGCCACCGCGCCCGGCTAGGTGGGGAAAATTGTAAGTGAAGAAGACAATAGTTTATGGATTTGCCAGCCAAAGAGGAACAGCAATTATGTTAATAGCTGCTTTGGGCCTATGTTAAAGACCGAAACTCCAGTTACAACTCAAGGAAGCACAGTTGAGAGACATCCTAACCTGAAAACAAAGTCTCAAGCGTCATCTCCTGCTTGCCCTGGCAGGGGAATATCATCCCCTACACTCTGCTATTCATAGTCTATTTTATGTAGGTTGAGCATTCCTAACCCGAGATGCTCCCAAATCCAAAACTTTTTGAGTGCTGACATGATGTTCAAAGGAAATGTTCATTGGAGGATTTTGCATTTTCAGATTAGGGATGCTCAAGTGGTAAACAAAATCAAATATTCCAAAATTCCCCCTCCCCCAAAAATTAATAAATAAAGTCCAAAACACTTTTGTAATCTCAAACATTTTGGATAAGGGATACTCAACCTATACTCAATTATTTTATTTCACCTTTAAGTTTTGGAAATGATTTATTTTTAGCAAACAATTTTGGTCTTTTTTTTTTTTTTGGTTTTTTCTTCAGCCTGGGCAGCAGACAGGGTCTTACTCTGCTGCCCAGGCTGAAGTCCAGTGGTGTGATCATGGCTCACTGCAGCCTTGACCTCTCAGGCTCAAGAGATTCTCCCACATCAGCCTCCTGAGTAGCTGAGACAAGAGATGTGTGCCACCATGCCTAGCTAATTTTTTTATTTTCCGTAGAGATGGGGTCTCACTATGTGTCCCAGGCTAGTTTCAAACTCCTGGGCTCAAGTGGTCCTCCCACCTCAGCCTCTCAATTTTGGTCTTTTACTGTATACTTTTTCAACAAGGTTGGGAAAAGTGATTTTGTAACCATGTGGTTAATCAAATATAACAATAAAATTAACCTAGAGGTGTTTTATTTCCCAAGCATACTATTCATAGGAAGTAGAGCTTCCATTGGGTAAAAATGTAAAGGTCTGCAATTACTGCAGCAAAGAGTGAGAGACATAATCTGAAGTGTCTACAAACAGGAAAAAGACTGTCAAATAGTTGAGTAAGATAAATCTGTTGAAACTACATACATAAAATAGAAGTAAAAGAAAAGCAAACATTTACAAATAAAAAATCGACAGGTCTGAGAGAAACAGCATGAGTCAGGTCAATTTCAAAGTAATATAGAGCTGGAAGCGGTGGCTCACACTGTAATCCTAGCACTTTGGGAGACCAAGGTTGGTGGATTGCCTGAGCTCAGGAGTTAGAGACCAACCTGGGAAACATGGTGAAACCCCATCTCTACTAAAACACAAAAAATCAGCCAAGTGTGGCAGTGTGCACCTGTAGTCCCAGCTGCTCAGGAAGCTGAGGCAGGAGAATTGCTTGAATCCAGCAGGTAGAGGTTGCAGTGAGCCAAGATGATACCACTGCACTCCAGTCTGGGAGACAGAGTGAGCCTCTATCTCCAAAAAAAAAGAAAGAAAAAAGAAAGAAAGAAAGATAAAGATGCCAACACACACTAACAAAAAAGAGTGGTTATGAGAAAAGACAGACTGGGGTCTAAGAATAATACTTTCATTCCCAGACACTCATGCTAAGAAGGAGCAGGGGTGGAGACTTTAAAACTCAAACGATAGTACTGCCAAAAGAGCAGAGAAGATAGAAAGACCCATGGACACTAGGATCAGATGGCCTTCTGTTCTAATCCCCAGTCTGGCAGATTCTGTGTAAGTCAAGTTTCTTATCTTTCAATTTTGGTTCCTCAGTTTTTAAGGATACTGTAGAGAATAAGTGAGAATATAAATGTTTGGGAAGAGTCAAGTAGAATAGGAATAAATAATAGCTGAAAACAGAGAAGTAAAGTTGTAGGGGTTGGGGGAAGTAAAAGAGATAGCTTTATTAAAGCATGCAAAAAGGCAACATGTGATGAAGGCAATTATTATTAACCACTCTCTATCTCCTAGACAGCAGTTAAATCTTACCTAATCATTTAGGAATATCTAAAAAATAGAATATACCACTTAAAACATACCATTTAACCTACAATACTTACAACTTTTTTTTCTTTTCTAGAGTCAGAACCCTAAACTGACCATGTTTACACAGGGTTATGACATCTACTTAAATTATTTACATCATTTAAGCGTTTCAGAATTATGCCTTCAGAGTTATGGCAACCTTACTTAAAACTTCATGAAGAGCTTTGCTGGAATTAGAAAGCAACAAAGCTTTATTTATTGCCACATAGCTACTAACCTGGTTTTTCTTGTGATTGTATCATTGAAGATATTCCATATCTCTCTTTAGCATAATCCTACAAAAAATATTTTGCATCATGACTTTTAATGTAAATACTAAGAGCACAATAAACACAAATAATAGAATACAAAAATGAATTTAACCTTCAGGATCATTTTATTAATTCAGAAAGTCAGTAGTTTCATAAAGTGGAAATCTGTCATTCATTTACATATGTACTCTACAGAAAACAGAAAAGCACTCAGTTTCTGGTTAGTTTGTTTTGAAAATCACCACTCCTAGATGGATTTACCATACTTAATAGCACTCTCAGATAAAATTTACACATATGTACAACACATCTTAACTACCTTCTTCAAAAAGATGAAACTACTTCAAAGCAGGGACATAAATTCCCTCTGTGAAGGGAGTAGGATGAAGTACCACAGTTTTATTAACTTCCTATTACAGGAAGAAATGTTCAAAGAGAACCAGCGTTTTGGGTAAGCTTTCTGAGCACCAGATGTCCACAGTTTTTAGAAACTGGAGATGCTGGGTATAAGCTAACTACAACTTTCCTTTTGTAAAACATCATCAAAAAATTCACCAGCTTCCTGTTTCTAAAAACCAACTTCAGGATACCAGGTTACAGAGGTCTAACACTGACAATATAATAATGTCAAATTTCTTGTTACTGATTAGAGTTAGGAACAGGAAACAGGAGACCTAGAATCTAGTCTGGTAACAAAACATTAAATAGATAAGTGGCCTTTATTTCAATCTTACTTTGCCTCTAAAATAATCTCTTAAGATTATCCCAGCTATAAAATGACTTAACTCTGCCACAGTGTTTACCTTATATCTAGACCTATACTATTTGTAAGGGTACACTCATAGTTTATGTAATTAAGAATACACAAAAATAATTGCCCTAGATTTTTACAAGGTAACTTAAGATCTGTAGGAAACAATTATGTTTCTGTCACTTGACAGCTACCTGTTGGAATCCTTAGATCTGGAAGATGCTGGATTTTGTGTTTACACCAAAATAAACCAGACATGTTTAAGTTGCTTACTGAACAATTTAAAGAAAAAGATAACCACCCCCTCCCAACCAGAGTAGAGAGATACAGTCACACAATGAAGCCTGAGGGTAGCAGCAGATTAAATTGTGTGAAGACAAAAAAGTTGCCATCCATTCAAATCAGTACTATTAATATTTCGGTGACTCTCATTAAGTATTCTGAGATGACCTATTTCTCATGTTGCTTACCACAAATTCAGAATTCCTCATAGAAAAATTAGGAGCAAGGCAGAAATTAAGGCTTAACACTACTACAGCATACATAACTTGTAGGATGGTTTCAAACTTTGATTTCTGAAAAGCACCGAAGGATCACTGGGTGTTATGAATTATCCATGTGATTTGGGGTCACTTCACCTCGAATACACTCTCAGCAACTCCTGTTACCTACCTTCCTGGGTCACTGAGAGGGAGAAAGTAAATAAAAATGACATGTGTTCCTTAAAGCTGTCACATGGGAAATGGTCATTAAACATATTGGCAGATGGTTTTGCTAAGTACTGTCATTACTCGCCAAAGCATTAGAACAGGAGGGCTGAATACATATCGACTACTAGCGCTTATTAAAATTTTCCCGGGGATTGTGCATTACGTGCAGGACGTGCCTAACTCAGGCTCAAGTGTGATGCCGCGCTCCTACTTCCGGGGCGGCTGGTGCTTCCCGTCCTCCCCACCCCGGGGACACGCTTCTAGCAGGCCGAACTCCCTGGTGACCCCGCGGGAAACGCGGTCCGGAGGGGTCTGGCCCAGCTGCTGGGGCGAGGGCTCTGGGCGCCCGGACCCCAGGCCCGTGGCCTGAGGAGAACGTGCCGACAGGGACCTCGAGGGCCCCGCTCCCCCTCCTCCCTCCCTCAGCGCGGCCCGGCCCAGGGGTCTGTCATCCCGGGCCCGGGAAAGGAGGAAACCCACTTCGGCCGCGTCCATGATCTCCCGCGGCTTCTCCTGACTCTTGCGGCTGGCGCTGGCGCTGGGCATCGGGACACGGAACTGGGCAGTGGACACCACCCTCCCTCGCAGGCTTCCGTAGGGCAGGCCAAAGGGGCTTCTCCCGCCCTCCCAGTCTCCGCCCTCCCAACCCTCGGGTCTCAGCACACGCGCTTGGACTCCGCGTGGAGGGGCGGCTCCGGAAAAATCGCGAGAGCTGAGGCTACCTCGAGATCCCGGAGCGCCGGCGGCCGCGCGCGGGGTCTCCTCCCTCTCTTGCCCCGCCCCTGCGGGAGTTTTCCCAGAGTTGGAGGGAATTCCCGGGAATTCGCGGTAGTTTCGCGGGATTGGCTTTGGAGGCGGGGTCGTAGGCCAGGGCGAGTGTAAGCTCTTTTCAGCTTAGTCCTTGGGACTTCTGCTCGGTTCTCTTAACAGCCCTTTCAACTCCGCTCTTCTGTAACCGCAGACTCGTCACTAAAACACGCACCCAAGCGCGGGCCTCGGTTTCTCCTCTCTTGGACTTTCCCGCCTTCTTTCTCCCCCCGGGCGGGGGAGAGGAGGAGGCCTCTTCGCAATCTGTTGCTTTGCGTGTTGGGACTCAGGAGTGCAGTTGGCTTGCCAAGGCAGCATGGGGTACCAGTCCCTGGATCAGTGAGACGTAAATACAGTTGCAACGGCAACAACAAACCCTCACAATTGCACTGATTGCCTGGATCTTTTGCAGTGATAGGGACAGTGTGTAGTGTTTGGCCATTGGATGAATATCCCCAAGTTAGGCATTTAAAAAAAAAAAAAAAGTTTTTTTTTTTTTTTAACTGTCATCAGTTTTGAATTAAAATTGAAAATAATTTGGAGATTTGGTTAATGTTTCACCTGCCAGACTCCGTCGTTTCAGCTGACTTGTAGCGCCTTAGTCTGGAACAAAGTGTTAAGGAGTGCACGTAGGTCCCAGCGCAAGTGAAAGGTCCCTGGAGGTTCCCTCATGCAGCAGTGAGAAGACAGCCGTGATCTTTGCTCACCTGTACCTTACTGTCTAATTGCAGGTGGCATGAAATTTTATTCCCTACTTAATTGATCAAAGATTATTTACAAACATCTACTTTGTGCCAGGCATTATATCAGGTGCTGGCAATAAAAAGTTAAGTCCTAATTCCTATTCTTAATGTTACACAGGGACCTAGGCTGATAGATGTGCCGTCTTGATACATGCGTCCATGATTAGAGTCAAGAAGAGAAATTAGCTCTTAAAGTGGCTGCCTGGATGTGACACATTTCACATTCTGCCCCTAGTTCATTGGCCAAAACAAGTCACATGGCCATTCCTGAGTTCATGGGGGCAGGAAAATTTACTCATTCCTTGGGGAGCAACACGGAATATTCCTGATCAATATCACATTCCATTAAAAAAGGCATTCCATTATACTCATGGGATTCAAACACAGAAGGGGATCTGTGAAGTTGTTTCATCCTGGAATTTTGTTTTAAAGCTTTGATTGCTTCAATCAGATGTAGTCTTTTTTTTTTTTTTTTTTTTTTTTTTGAGAGGGAGTTTCGCTCCTGTTACCCAGGCTGGAGTGCAATGGCGCGATCTCGGCTCACCGCAACCTCCGCCCCCTGGGTTCAGGCAATTCTCCTGCCTCAGCCTCCTGAGTAGCTGGGATTACAGGCACGTGCCACCATGCCCAGCTAATTTTTTGTATTTTTAGTAGAGACGGGGTTTCACTATGTTGACCAGGATGGTCTCGATCTCTTGACCTCGTGATCCACCCGCCTCGGCCTCCCAAAGTGCTGGGATTACAGGCTTGAGCCACCGCGCCCGGCCCAGATGTAGTCTTAATGTATGGACTGATTATCAGAAATCTGAATACAAATTGCATCTGTTACCCCTTTGGTAGGGTAGTGATCTTACCTCTCCTTCTGTTATTGAGGCTGTCCATGCACTTCTTTCTTACTTTGGCCCCGTTGCTTTGATAAAAATATTCTTATTTAGTCCTGGAGTAAGACTGTAAATATATATTCTTGTTTCTGGCCCTCTTTCCTGATGGTGATAGAAAAGAAGCATTTGCCAGATCAATGGCCACATATCATGTGCCTGAGGTCTTAAGAATCCGCTGTAGTAAAGGTGCTACAGCTACAACTGAGGCTATGACTTGGTTGATCTTGCAGTAGTCTACTGTCAATTTCCTGAATATGCCTGTTTTTTTCAGGAACCACACTGGTGTCAATGGGAATGTGTTATAGACTACCATCAGGTCTTTAAGGGTTGCACTGATCACTATTCCTCTTGGGGGACATGTTGTTTATGATTTACTATCCTAGTTGGGAGCTGGGAAAGTGGTTTTTAGATATTTTCTCTTAGCTTTATTCAGTATGGTAGCCTTATTCCACAGACCAAGGAATAGGGGAACAGCTCTGCCATGGCACGTTGGCTGCTTTGCAGAATCCACATAAGCCATGTAGGCAGAGGGCTTGAACTGTAGCTAACTTGAATCTTGGAAAAACACCTTGTGATCTTACTGGAACCTGAGAGGATGGAAGGCTATCTCCCACTCACTTCCCTATCTCCCTAAGAGGCTGTTATGGGATGGTTTCTTACTACCTCCCAGGTTCTGATGAGGTATGTGACTTCTTACCACCTTCCCTCAAGGGAAATGCAGAATACAAAAACATATATAATGTCTTCTCATTTTACTGCTTAGCTGGAGTCTAGAAGTGGCTCTTCAGCAACAGAGCGTCCCACTACTCATGTTGTAGTCATTTGGTGCCTTTTGTTTCAGTGATGTCCTTATTGGTATATGGGACAAGAATCACAGGGAGCTGACACTTTTGGCCTTTTCTCTGTCTTCTCTTTTTTTTAATTTAATTTTTTTTTTTTTTTGAGATGGAGTCTCTCTTTGTCTCCCAGGCTGGAATAAATAGGCATGACCTTGGCAACCTCCTCTACCTCCCAAGTTCAAGTGATTCTCCTGCCTCAGCCTCCTGAGTGGCTGGGGTCACAGGCACCCACCACCATGCTAGGCTAGTTTTCATAATTTTAGTAGAGACATGGTTTCACCATGTTGCTCAGGCTCAAAGTGCTGGGATTACAGTTGTGAGCCACCTGGCCTGGCCCCCCCTTTTTTTTTGGAGCAGGATCCCACTCTGTTGCCTAGGTTGGAGTGCAGCAGTACAATCAAGGCTCACTGCATCGCCGAACTCCCGGGCTCAAGGGATCCTCCCACTTCATAGCTGAGACTACAGGTGTGCACCACTATGGCCAGCTAATTTTTGTATATTTTGTAGAGATGGAGTTTCACTGTGTTGCCCAGGCTGGGGGCTTATTCTTGTTTTCACTCTCTATGTCAGTAACAAACTGTCTAAATCTAAAAGCAGCTTGTTACAGCTTTATTGATGGAATCAGTCAGGTCTTGACCTTTCCTTGCTTGTCCTGTGTGTTCCTGTTTTGACAGCAATCAGTGTGGGACTCTGCCAACTTCCAATATGATGTCCATCCCAAACTATACATTTAGGAGCAGGAAAATGACTTTTCATTAGGCCCCTGGACCCATGGACCCATTTCATTCTAGGTGTTGCTGTTAAGATGGTTGAAGCACCATTGTGATTTTTAAATTTTTAATTTTTTTTTCGAGACTGGGTTATGAGACTAGCTAATTTTCTTTTGTTTTTTTTTTAGTAGAGATGGGTTTTCCCCATGTTGCCCAGGCTGATCTTGAGCTCTGGGCCTCAAGTGATCCACCTGCCTAGGCTTCCCAAAATGCTGGGATTGTAGGTGTGAGCCACTGTGCCCTGCCACCATTGTCCTTTGTATGTGGTTCTTTTCCCCCTGGAAAAGAAAGAAGCTCACAGAACATTTGCTAAGTAGGCTACATGGGTCATTCTTTGTTCTAACATTCAGGAGTTTCATAATATTTATCAGTCTGTGGGTTTAAATTCATCATTATGCTGGACAGTCCACGGGCCATTTCATCTGGAAGCTCATTAGTCCTGGGAGGTGAGGTTGCAGTTTTAAATATGGTGGTCAGGGTAGGCTTCATTGAGAAAATTACATTTGAAAATTTGAAGGCACTGAGAGATATGCCTGTATACATAGTTGGGGGAAGAGCATTCCAGGCAAGAGGACAGCTAGTGTAAAGGCTTTAAGATGGAAGGAGCAAGGCCAATGTTCTCTACCTCCGGTGACATCTTTAAGGCTTCTGAAGTGTGTAAGATTCGTTCTCTATCCTGAATGACTCTAGTTTGCCAAGCTTTTTAAAAAATTGTGACCAAAAATACCTAAAAATTATCCTTCTAACCTTTTTGAAGTCTACAGTTCAGTAATGTTAACTATATTCACATTGTTGTATAATAAATCTCTAGAAATTGTTCATCTTGCAAAACTGAAATCCTGCACCATGGAGCAACAGCTTGGCATTTCCCTTTCCCTAAGTCCCAGGCAAAAAACAGTCCACTTTCTATTTTCATGATTTTGACTACTTTAGATATCTCAGGTAACTGGAATCATATAGTATTTGTCCTGTTATAAATTGCCAGGCTTTTTGAGTTCTTGTATTGCAAATTCATTCTGGCTCCAGCCTCACCGTCATGTTGAATTTAGCTATTACTTCTCTCATGCCTGCATGTAATCCAAATCTTAACACCCCTATTTACCAGGTGAATCAGGTGGGATGCCTTTGGCTGTGAATAAGAGAAACCCTGACTCAGACCGTTTCAAACTGTAATGTATTGCTCAACCAATAGGAAGTTGGGGAAAAGGGGGAGTCCAGGTTTGGTTGATCCATGCATTCAGCAATGTCCTCATGGCCTGAGCAGTTCTTTCCTTCTTTCAGCTCTGAAGGCTTGATCCTCAAGTTGGTAGCAAGACAGCTACAGCAAGTTCAGGCATCCAACCAGTCGTGACGGTATCAGGGAAGGAGACAGACCTCGTACCTTTTGGTGCCTCTCCCTTAAACATAGAAACCGTTCCTCAAAATTTCTGCAGCTAGCATTCCTTCACATCCGATTGGCCAGAATTGGATCTCATGCCTGTGTTCAAACCAGTTGTTGGTAAGGGAAATGGGATAAATAGGCAATCAAGCCTACCCCAGCATTTTGGTGGTCGGTTGGGAGCGTTGCCTCCACTGGAGCACATGCATACCTGGGAGAGGGGTGGACACCTAAATAAAACCAGATCCTGTTAGGAAGGAGGAAGGATAAGAATGGATGCTGAGTAGATAGCCAGCTGTGTCCACTACATTAGCTGTGTGATTTGAAGAGAGTCATTT